AGTTTAACTTTGGTTAATAGCTGAAGTTTCATTATTTTTGCTATTAGTAATTGGTTGATAATAATTATACAGTATACCCTCGCACATAAAAAGGCGCGAATGCAACCTGAGTGCAACCTGTGGAAGTCGTTGATTATTTAACTTATTCGCATTTTATTTGCAATTTAGTTTATATTGTAATATTTAGACCAAAACGTAATCTTTAATACAGATATACGGTGCTATACTAAAATGAGTCTTGAGACTGAGGTTTAGTTGTAAGACTGAGGTTGAGCTCGACTTCTATTCTAAAATCAAACTCAGCAAAGTTTGGTCTCAAGGTTGAGCTCAAACTCGGGTAAATCTCAAGACTGACTGTGATCAACTTTATCCCTGAAAGTTGGCCTCACAGTAGTGTTTACAACAGTAAAGTTTGTATTGCATTGCATTGAAGCGTTGTGTATAAGCGTAGATTACAGGCGCGGCGTTTAACTTGATAATTATAACATTGATTGTAAATTCATACAAATTGTTTGAATTGAAATATTTTTTCATCAAATCAGATGTAAATAAATGTATGTCTTGCTGATAATGTTATATAATATTCACATTAATATAATGATCGCAAATTTCAATTATGCTTTTATTGAATTAAATATATATTAATTAATAATTATAATTGAATGCTATTTAGGGCTAGAATTATGATTGGTATGATTTTTGAGCACTTGTTTACATATAAAACCCGTTTTCATGTAAACAGATGTTTGATAGAGTTTGCGCTATTGATATTCGCAATTGTGAGATTCAACTTTTCGAGATCCAGTTCAAAACTTATAACATTGATTGTAAATTCATACAAATTGTTTGAATTGAAATATTTCTTCATCAAATCAGATATAAATAAATGTATGTCTTGCTGATAATGTTATATAATATTCACATTAATATAATGATCGCAAAAATCATGTTTAAAAGTGACATCAAATTAAGTATTAATAATTATTATCTAAAACTAATTTCATGGGAAAAATTTGTGTTTCAATTATGCTTTCATTGAATTAAATATATATTAATTATAATTGAATGCTATTTAGGGCTAGAATTATGATTGGTATGATTTTTGAGCACTTGTTTACATATAAAACCCGTTTTCATGTAAACAGATGTTTGATAGAGTTTGCGCTATTGATATTCGCAATTGTGAGATTCAACTTTTCGAGATCCAGTTCAAAACTCTTTTTGAATAGAATCTCGAGTTTGAGCTCAACTTCAGTCTCCAAAAGGATTAACTCGAGTTCAAACTCAGCCTCGAGTAAGAAAATTCTTAGTATAGCACTG